GTGTGGCAACACTGCTAATCCCAACTGCGCAACACACAGAAGAACTAAATCGACACAGACATTTACCCACCCAGCCACTGGCTCTCATGCCCACCTCTCGAACACACTTTAATGTTCTGCAGGCATTCGGGCCACATTAGGTCCTTAATTGAAGCATAAAAGAGAGCCTCTTTGCGTTTTGGCTTTTAGCAAATGTACAATGGATGGCTGGGGTGGGAGCAGTCACAAGAAGGTGTAACATTGTTTGTCCATAGCTATTGACTGCCTGCAATCCGATGTAAAGGAATTTCGACATAGAAACGAATTTTTCGGGTCATCATCCCTATCTAACTGGCCACTGAGATATGCTCTCCCATAAATTGTGAAACGTAACATAGATAAATGGGTTTAATTATAAGCCACTTGTTATAAACTATTGGACATTGGAATTTCTGTTTGACATTTCGTTACAATTGTATTTAGTATTTTGTGTTATCTGAGCCCCTGCTTTTGCTTCTCATCGAAATCGAACTGTGGCTATCCGACATATATATCAGAACTTTCAACTATTTGTAATGCAGATTGTTTTATCTTGTGGAGAATTTCTAATGAAGGCGTCATTACATGTCGAACTTTTCGAAAGAAATGGGATCGAACAAAACATTTTTCAATTAATCTAACAACGCTTTTGAAAAATAAAGGGAATTGATGAAGATTTGTGGCGAAATTCTGCGATTCGTCATTTAAATGAAAATATCACCTTCTTTAAAGACAAATTTTGGAAGGATTGAGATTAAAGTGATTTTTATAAACAATTTTGTTGTAGTGATTAGCATTGGTGTAGGAAGAGCTCGATGGTAAAGAACAATTTTCCATAAGTGAAACTCCTAGGTATTTCTTTCGATTCCCCCAAAAAATTGGACAAGATATTGACTTAAACAAAATATCCCTTTAAAATCTCGTAATAGCAATTGCGTACTGCTCTGTCCTGGTCCAAGTGGTCTATTCACTTCAGTTCACTTTCGCTCGTTATTCCTCCGTATGTCTCAATAAAATTTCGACTTTTGCGTGTGTAGTTCCTCAGACTTGCATGCCAGTTTGATGTTCCTCAATTGCTCGTTTAAGGGTTAACCGTTTCAAATTAGCCGCAAAGTGCATTGTTTGGCTAGTATTTATCGTTTGTTCTGTAGAAAAAGACGTCAGAAGAAATAAGAACAACAACAGTAACACCAACAATCGTAATAAATGCAGCAAAATCGAAGGGACAGCGATACACACTGATACTGGCACATATACCTATACAATGGGCACTACATTGAGTATCAATGTTAGACGTTGTGGTTATTCGTTTATAAGTGCAACACCGCCCATTCTACGATTCTAAGTAAATATTTATCTACAATTTATTGTTGTTGTTATTTTAATTCAGATTCGACTGGTCGTGTTGAAGTGATTCTCCCTTCTCTTAGAAAATGTGTGCTGAGTATTTAGAAACGCAATGACAGTGCTATTATCGCTTGGCCCGGTCCAGTGCATGCACAATGTGAAGTGTATGTAAGACATCGGTGAAGGCTCCGATCTGTAATTAACAATAGGTCATACGTTTCATTTCGACTGGTTGTAGTTAGGCCAATCTCAATCTAGGGGGACACAGACGTGTTCCGAAGAAACGATTAGATCTAGATCTTTTAGCCAACGCCGAAACCAATTTCTCCCAAAATATTAATGAAAACATCATCTAAACTGTTCCTTTCAATGCGCATCAATTAATGAAAATGTCGTTATAAAATCGATGTTTTATGAGCAGACCATCTTCTTGGATTCTGACATGTTTTACTACAATTCATTCGTCAGTTATATGAACGCCGTTTGATTTCCGGGAATTCTGAAATAAGATTCACAGACTGCCTAATAAATTCGAATTCGTCAACAGAGGATAGACTTGAGACACCTTTGTGCGCCATAAGCGTTTCTCAACATTGGTGGCTAAATTCATCATTCATTGTTTTTCCGTAAAATAACAAATGAGCGTAGCGTAACCCCCAAAATCCAGTAAAAAATCCATGTATTAGCTGCACTGTTCTGTTCAAACATTCGTTATGACTAACTATTTTTATTACATAGTCTCAAGCTGTATTGTCGTTTTATTTCGGTATGCTCTCAATTGTATTTTAAGAATGCAAGCACCTAATGAGTTATTTCATTTTCTACCAGCATTCAGACCTGTTTAGACATTTTGAAAATTGTTTCACTATCACTATTGTTTGTAAACAATTAAATGGCACACTGTTTGGGTATATCCGCATTGGCAAAGTCCAGATAGTACTCCACCAAAGGCAACTACACCACAATACACAGTTGCACACACCGACGCTGATTCATTCATTCAGCCAGCCAGTCATTCCTTCATTCTCATCTTTGATGCGATTGTAATTCCAACAGCATCATCGTAACGCGATAATTCCGCACCAAAACATAAACCAGAGCTGGCACAGAGGAATAACAATAATAGAATTCCTAAAATGTAAACAAATCAGCAGTCGGCTCATTTGCACATTGCCATGCTCCGTCTTTGCATGGCGTCGTCATCTGACAGCCACACAGACACAAACACGCTTCTCATCCGGAATGCAAATGACGGGCAGCACGCGAACGGAGAGGCACCAATAGGTGCATTAACAATTCAGGTGTTAACTCCACGCGGTAAACAAACAAACAACAATCGTCATACCCCGGAGAATCCATTCGATTCTGCTGTGCCCTCAGAACTCTCAGAATGTAACTCATTCTCTCCCTTGAACCAGTGTTTAAAGAGCTGTTGAATAGAATAAAAGAGACACACACACAGGCACATGAGTGGGAGCAACAGCCAGTTGGAGGAATTTCACACGTGACCACCTGAATTTATTACACCGATTTTTTTGGACCTTACTGTGCTGACTGTGCTTTGGCAGACAGTATTGAAAAGGCAAAGTATCAGGCCAAGAAGCAAATCCGTCCTTGTGATGGCTGTCGTTTTTTTACTGTCCTGGAAATCGACATACAGTCGAACAAGCGACGGTACGCCCAATTGGGACATTCCGCTATTAAATCGTCGACAGTAGCTGTGTTCCCACACGAAACCTCTTCCAATAGGCACAAATCTGGTAAGGGATGTGTGGAATTTTGCACACTTTGCGATATATTTTCCCCAATTGATCAGTTTGTGGTAGCCCTCTCAGAAAAATGGAAAAGAATATCCGATTTGATTAAGTTTCGCAGATCTTAATATTTACATGTATGTCAGATAAGAAAATCGCCCGATTCCATCCGAGACCACCCCCGAAAGGGGTCAAACTTTTGAATAATCATGACATTCTCCCAATTGAAATCTAATCGGAAATTGCCGCAAAGTGAAGATGGAACAGAGCGGTACACCCTTGTGGTACCTACTCCTGAGTTCAATATTTGGGCCAAGCAGGTGCGAAAAAGGTCATCGTTTTTTCCCCTCCCCTTAAGTGAGCGAATGAATGGTTCAGTCCTTCGAATACCTCACCGACAAATAGTCACAAAATTAACATATACTTGGGAGTCCATAAAATAGTCCAAATCACACCTTTGGCGCACATCTATCATAAAATCAGGAAACACAATCTTCGCCCTGGAATTAAAACAAAAAAACGAAACGATTGTTTTTGTTCCAACAAAAATGACGCACTATCCTCTTCCGTTTCCGCTCTCCCGTTGCGAATGTAGAAAGTCTTTCAGTCTTTCAGTCGAGAAGTGCTGGTACACAGCTAATATCGCCATTCATGCGAGCGAGAACAACAACACGACATATTCGTGTTTGTTTTGTGGAAAGTGCCGAGCCAAGGAGAAGAAGGGCAGAACGAAGAAGATATAAAAGCACTCAAGTGGCGAATAATACGAGCGGAATCACTTAATGAATAGCACTCAAGAAGCAACAGTTCTAATTGGCCTGATGCAGGCAGTCAAGGAGTGAAATCTTTTGAAAGAATCTGAAAGTCTAAAAAGGGATAAAAGGAAACGGAAGAGCCGGACAAATGAAAACATAAACAACGGAATGGCCAGACAACAATTACACGGTTCGGTTACTCGATGTGGAAATTATTCGAATAACATTTTGGGGTCAGTTGGAAAAGATTTTTTGAATATTTTTATTAGGAGATTTAATTTTGGGCATTCGAAGTTGAGGCGCAATTCAGGTCTCACTGTGTCGTCTTTGAGCAGGTTATCCGTGAGGAGGGTACATCTGTAGTAACGAAAAACATTTCATGCTCTTGTAGCCGCTACAATCTGTATTGTTATATTAGCGATGACGCGTGAGGAGGGTGCATCTGTAGTAACGAAAAACATTTCATGCTCTTGTAGCCGCTACAATCTGTATTGTTATATTAGCGATGACGCGTGACAGGGGCAAAATCGGATGTGTTTGTGCAGAAAGAGGGAATTAAATTTTACTCTGTGTGGAAAATTATTGCCAGAAGTGTCGTCACCTAATGCTCATTACACCTTTGGTTCAACCTAAATCTGATAGGAAATGCATTTAATACTGAATGGAGATATCAACTTAGTTTAAAAGACGAAAATTTTTTGGCGTGCCCAAAAGTGTTGCCTTTGCCAGTAAAAATTCGCGGATCTTGAGTGCTCTCGCACCAAAAAACAGCAGGTAAAGGAGTTTAAATTACCTAAAATGCTGCTGCTGCTAATTTTCAGAAAATAGTAACCATTGTTATTGTTTCATAGCGTAACTTGAAATTGGACGCACTAATTCGACATTAAAACCATGTATATGAGAGTTTCCCAGCTACGTCGGATTTTTTTTGATAAGTTTTTATATATGGACCTGGTGTATTTGGGTAATATCCAGGGTAACATCCAGAGAGGATCAGTCGATTAGACTTAAACATTTACGTCCAATTGTGTGCACCAATAAAGGTGTAATTCTTGTTATTGTGTAGGGAATATTTACTTGTCCTTGCAAACTCCTTGGGGAAACAGAAACATTCCTCACGGATCTGCTATTCGTGAATTGGCTGATTGCACACACACACACACGTGCATGCGGCGCATCAGTGTCCTTTCATTTCTTTATTTTGTTGTTATCTTAAATGCGAGTCCTTAGCCTATATCTTCAGATACATAAAAAATACAGATACGTTTGTATTGGTTTTCTTTGATTTGTGAGTTTGTGTGTGTGTGTGTGGGGGGGGGGGTTTATTGCACTTTACATTCTAGTACGATCCTTCGCTTTGCTTCGGTGTCTCCTCAACCAGTCCCTATACAAACGGATGTCTTGTTCTTCTCTTCTTCTTGGGATAATCGTAGCCTTCGAAGTCGTCCTCAGCTTCTTCGTAGTGATGTTTCTTGTGTTCCTTTGGTTCTTTGTGTTCCTTGACGGGTACCGGTATGGGCAGTGGCACCTTTTTAACCACGGTTTTTGTGTGGACATGCGTATGGTGTTTCACTGGAACATGAATTCGAATCCTAGAACGGGTTGTTTACCGCTATGAAATTGTTGATTGACATTATCGTTGCATCCATACTCACTTGAGCTTCTCTTTCGAAGGATACGCAGCCGCAAGGACAAGCAGCACTAAAAGCACGTATAGTGAAGCAATCTGAAATGAAAATATTACCAAATAAATATTAAGAATAGGATTCTGTGAGTTTTCTAAGACATTGTTACTTCATAATAGTTTGGAAAAATACTACAAACAACAAAAGCTGTCGATAAGATAAACAATAGCAGTAGTTGTAAAAAGTTATGGCATAAAACTACTCTAAGTGAATTGAATATTTTTATCGATCCGATAATCTACAATTTTGTCTTCGTCGTTTGTAAAAATGTAGGCAAGCTATTCAAAACATCCGGTTGGGGAATATTTCAATCCAAAAATACCTACAACATTTTTGCAAAAGAAATTCTCTGTTCCAGAACCTACAAGAATGTAAAAATGTTTCGACGATAGCCGTTATTTCCTTTGTGATATCAAAAAAGTTACAAAATACGTAGATTTTTGCAGATTCTGGAACCGGGCAAATGCAAATTCAATTTCAATTTTTGTCGATAAACTAACGACGAATGTTTTTTACTCTTTTTTTTATCGATTTGAGTGTTGTTTAAATTTGATAGTGAATATTTGATATCTGTGGAGTGTAGTAATGAGCCACTGCCAACATCTTTTGAATTTGTAGAATTCTACACAAATATTAAATATTCAGAATTTCGACTTAAACGCTTTTGATGACTGGTAACTGTTACCCACTTAAGGTCTTAAGCTAAATTAAAAAAGGAAAACAAGGGCAACTTTAGAATCCTCTTCATGGCCGCAAAGTATAATTACAGCGATTGATTTTTAACTCTCCTACTACTAATCACACATTATTATCATTGGCTCACTAAGTCGAGCAGAAAGTGGTGCGAAAACACATCGCCACTTCCGGGTAAAGCCAACAACTTCCTCACTATAACTTGTCTGTGATGGGATGTGCTTCACTTTGTTTCTCTCTTCCATGATTGCGATTTTCTGGATTATTCTCGACCCGTTCGGTTCGAGTACACTTAGTGGCAGTACCGCAGCTTCACTTACACTTTTGCAGAAATGCATGATTTGTCTGTAGTCCAAACAATCGGGCGGTGAAAGCACAACAACTTCTGTTTTGTGAGATATCGCGACCGTGGCCGTGGCAGACACAACCTTTCGTGACAGAGTTCCGTTACAATTACCAGCAACATTTTGGAATCACCTTTGTTTAAATACGAACAAAGGCGACGCCGACTGGGTTAAAACGGGTTTGCTGCCCATCGCAGCTGCCAGTGACGCTAGAGCAGAGCCACCTGTTTCTGGTGTCGTTATGCCTTCGGCTGCAGTTTCGCAGACAGCCGAGTAGACAAACTAAACGTCAGGAAGATAACATAATTTAGCCAAGCGCATTCGAAGAGTTTTCTTTACGAGCTCATTGTATGTCTGTATGTTTGAATGTCGGCATGGATCAGTTGCAACCGATAGACCTGTGATTATTAGTTTAGCCATTACCCAGCAAACTATTACCCAGCAACCGTTTTTAGAAATTCGAAAATATGTTTTATGCACGTCCAAGACAAGCCGAAACGAGACATTTCTATGCTTCCGAATGTGACCGTATTACGGCTTTGGAGCGGAAGCAAATCGAAATCTTATTGAACTAATATATGGTAGCTATAAATACTTATATGGGATCTAAATCTGAATCGATTACCACCAATTGGATTACTAATACACTTGTGTTTGTATTTCATTTCATCACATTGTCTGTTTTTCCATTGACGAATTTTACCTAAGCGTGCATTCAGCCAATCTTACGAACTTTGTGCTAAAAGGGACACATGGGCTTACCAAATGTTTGCTGGGTGTTGCTGCGTAATTTTTATTGCCACGTAATTTTGAAGCAAACCTCTAAGCATGTCACCTGAAGTTCCCCGTTCAAGTAACTCCCACTGAAGTGAAGAGAATCTTGGCAAGCTATTGGAAATGCTGCTGCGGCAGGAACATGTGCGCTGGGATCTTGGCAAACACCTGTTTGCCTGCAGCTTCCGTCGGAACAACAGCTAATCGCTACAATGTCCAATCAAAAGACTGCAATACAATAATTTATTTTCTTTGACTGCGAAGAAAACACGAACAATAGATAAACGTAAAATGCTGCACTGCAATTTGGCGTCCACCAAGTCATCTGCAGAGCCATTCTTTCGGTGTCACTCAACTGCGATGGTCCTGCAAGGCAGCAGGCCATCATGCCATGCCATGCTATAATTTGCCTCAACGAGATGCGCTGTCAGAGACAGTTAGTTCTTCTGAATGACACCCATTTGTCACAGTCGGAATTCCCATTCCCTGGCTGGTGGATGACAATGGAGCCCCCCAACGAAATGTCACAATCAATTTGTGTCGGAGCTGTTGCTGTTCATTGTCCAACGCTACGACGGTTATGAGTCACATTGTTGTTGATTGTGGTGGGGCACAACGGCCAACCTCAGTGACTTCCTTGTTGTTGCAACTGGAGGCAACTGGGTGGCAGGAGTTGTTGCTTTGCTGGCATAGCATAAAGAAAACTGTCACAACCTGTCTCAAAACCATATCTTCCGCCTTGCGCTGCTGTCGCCGCAACTTCGGCCGATGCCGCTAATTTCACGACAACGTAATTCTGTCGGTGCAAATGAATGGCCGCCAATGTCACTTCTAGACACCCTACGGGTAACTGGGTTTAGTTACAATGTCTGTCCAGACACACCTGATTGCATAGCTTGCCGAACATTGCCAAATTGTTGCATTCGGTTGGCATTGTTATGCAACAAAGCGAGTACTTCGGGCGAAGACGCCTCTCCAATGCTGCATTTAACGGTGGCATTTACCTCCTCCATCCACAGACGTCCAGCCAGTTCGATCTGTCGGTTGGCCGAAAGGCATGCGAAATTAATAGGTCGAGGTTTGTTTACATTTTCAAGAGCTGCACCAGTGCAATGGTACAGCAATGAGTGCGGTCACGGACAACCGCAGAAAATATCGTCGACTTGGAAGCAGCAACATCGGTCATGGCTTAGCCATAGAAAGTGCGCTGCCGCGCTTTGCAGCGGCTTAGTGTGAACTTCTCCTTTTAAAGATTTCTATCTTCGTTTTCAATCAACCCGAATTCATGGTTGGTCTACTTTAGCACCGGTCGAGGAAGTAGTTTAGAGCCAATTTACAGCCAGATTCGCCCAGTTATTTTTGTTTTTGTTGTAGCCATGTGTGTAATTATGTAACCAGTGGTCATGGCAGCAACATTGGTCGTAGCATTCATTCGCCCGTTTTGAAAATGAAGGAGATTACTTTTTACGACTGGTTTCATTGCGTGCTTTTTTCATCTTTTTTTTTTAATTGACTCGTCTCGCCTTTATTCGCGGATCGGCGATTGTGTGTGTTGAGTTGGGAAATGCAAGCATATAATTCGCGCATGCTCTGCTTCACCAAAATGTGGTACAACTTATTGGTTCCAGTAATCGCGCACTGATGGCCAATTCCGTTTCATGTGTCTTTGACACGGCTGCTTGGCTGGACTAGAAAATGGGTGAAAGATGTGTCCTTAACTGAGGTGTTGTGTGAAAACCAGTTAGCATTTGATTGCAGCGGATGGCGCCGCTTGTCCACATTCACTCGCACCACTTGTATGGTGGTATTGGGCAGTGGAACAATCCGATATGCATCAAATTTGGTGGACCGGGAAGGAATATTTGATCAAATTAGTTCAGTAGTGCTGATGGCGATGATCATTACTTAGCAGTCTTGATCTATGGGCGAGGAGCAGCCATGAATTGACATACAAATTAGTCATATTAAAATAAAAAAAATATTTGTGCTACTACATCGTAACCGAAAGAGGGTATGCCAACTTAATCTAAGTTTTTCATCGGACAATTTATAATTTGCTTCCCACAAATGTTGAATGCATGTTTTCCGTGAATGTTGTGTGGTTGCGCATTACACTCATTGTCGTTGCCTTTTTACAACTTTTCAATACAAAACCTAACTAACATATTGGGAGGTGAAGCGGAGACCATTGAAAGTAGTTGTCGCTTCTTTATGAAGTATGCCATTTACACTGTGTTACAAAATAAAGCTGGTTTCCTTTCATAAACTAACCGGTTTTTAGAAAACGAATAACATTTGACATTTTTATTTTTCATTGATTCATTCACTGCCTGTAATGATGCCTGCAAAACTTCCATTGTCCAGCAATGAATATCCTAACCAATTTTTGGCAATCATAACTACTTACAAATCAACCGACTAGCCCATTATTATTTACAAGAAGGTCTTAACTGAAGTAAGTTGAAAAAATTGATTGTTCTTGGTTTTAGAATCCGATTTTTGTCGTAGATAGTATTGAACACGCAACGATATGGTTTGTGGTTAAACTAACTACTCTCGGCGTTATTTTTCCGCATATATAAAAGGTTACTGAGTGTCTTACATCCTCTGGAACAATTCACTGTATTACCTGTTTTTTTTTCTATTTGCCGACGTTAAGTAAGAAACTCAAAACATTCAGTCGGACTTGTTACTCATTACCTGGTAATGCAGAAGGTTGTTTGTTTATATACCCTTTTATTATTCTTCAGCTCTCATTTCATCTGTCTACGACGAAGATTACCGGATTTTGTCAGTTAACACCGTGGATTTAAACCGTCCATTCCAATTCCATTGCATATACGTCAACCCAATCGTCATCAAGAAATTTACACCGGCAAAAAGTTCCAATGTAAACATACCATAAAACATTGTTAGAAAATTAAATATGCTAGGAATAAATAAATCGAGTAAAAACTTTTAATACCCTCCAAAAACTTTTAATACCCACCACTATTTGGAAGGAACTTGAAAAATTTTAAAAAATTGCGAAAAATAACGGTTAAATGACGAACTTTATACGGGGACTATACGAAGGCGCGGACCCGCATAAGTAATTGTCATGGGCTGTAGTACCCATTAAAATCTTCAAATACGAAATTTCAATTCAGGTAAATAATGTCGATAAATCATAAAAACACTGAATATAGAGAGGTACCGTTTTATGGGTGCTATACGAAGACGTGGGTGGACCTGCATACGAATTTTTTAGGCATAGGCTGTAGTACCCTTTACAAACTTCAAATACAAAATTTGAAACAATTCGGGTGAATGATTTCGCTAAAATCATCAAAGTACCGAATATCGGTCGGTACCGTTATATGGAGGCTATATGAAAACCTGGATCTACATGGTTCATTTACGAACTTAACCTACCTACTGGCAAAATACTCATGCGTGCAAAATTGTAGCTTTCTATCTCAATTCGTTCGAAAGATAGCGTGATTACAACATACAGACAGACAGACGGACATCTCAAAGTCGTCTTAGAATTTTACGCTAAACCAGAATATATAGACTTTTCAGGGTCTATCATGAATATTTCGAGGAATTACAAACGGTATGACAAAGCTAATATACCCTCCATAGAATGGCGGAGGGTATAAAATACCTAAACGTTGTTGATAATATGCTCATATTTGATCTAGAATAAAATCGTCTTTCATTTTTCGATGTCATAACGTACTTTTCACATTTCTTTTATTATAGAACAATTTTTAACTGATAAATATCGGACAGTTTTTGATATTTTTTACATTTAAGAATTGAGAAGAATTTTACTATACCCCTGTAACGATATAGGCAACATCTGGTTATCCGACTTTTTTGAAACGGTGTCTCTATTTTCATTTGTCTATAATTTCATTTGTCTATAGTCACAGTCATCAGAGAAAAACCGAAAACTGTTGCTGTACTGCGAAAATGTTAACATCATGTGCTTTCACACAAGACCAACCAAAAAAAGCTAACATTGAAAATGTCAGTGATTCTTAAAATTTAATTTTAATTTAGCTTTTCAAATATTTCTTGTTTATCTTCTTCAATTATCGCCCCTAGCTGGGAATATTCCACAGCCCTATCACAAACGACGTAATCTGATGTGGAATTGAACGCAGCAAAGCAACAGTTTTCGTTGTTGCAGTTGATGACTGTGGCTGCCAGCAGTGCTGCATAGATTTCACAGCGACAGCACTTCTTGGGTGCTCTAATAAATTTGCTGGCAACAAATTCAAGTCATGGTAAAATTAAGAATGTAAAGTCATGCAATCCTATGTTAATATTTTTTTCCAACATTATTCACTGGACAGCATCTCATTGTCAAACTTTATATTTATATATCCATTGTATGTACACAAATCAGGGATGGGAACCTCGTTTTTATCCACTGAAATTTGACAAGGTAAATTACAGAAAATGCAGATATGGAAATGCTTTACCTTCTTAATTTCACCACGATCCAAGTGTTGTAATTAGCCATCAGTTGTGAACTGATGCTACAGTCATTAAACATGAAATGCAAACATTTTGGAATCCAATATCAATTGTTAAAAACCTTCCCCCACTTTGGCAGATATTATCCCCCATACTTCCCTCTCGACTCAGCAGTGGTTTGAATTTTTTTTTCTTTTTTTTTAGTTAAAATAAAACAACAGTGGCAAAAGTCAATTTAATGTCTTGTCCTTTTTATTATTTCAGATACATTTTATTTGTTTTTGTTTTGCTTGGTTTTGTTTCGAGAATAAATTGAATTTATTATTATTTTGCTGTAGTTGGTTTTATGTTGAATATGCATTTGTGGTTGCTCTTTTGTTAGTTGCGTTAAATGTTATGAATAAATGGATGTAAATAGAACAATTGATTAACCTATGAAAATGAAACAATTTTGAGGTACGACCTCGTACGCCAATGCCAACGGCATCCGATTAACAAAAACAATTGTGATTATCATGCTATAAAGTGTCACTTAAACTAAACAAACAGCACTTCCTCGTGTACAGGATAGTGGTCGTGAATAACACGGCTAGAAGACTGGCCGGCCTCCAGCTCCGGTGACAAATAAGGAACCAAAAAAATAGGGATGGGAAGGTTACATTTTTGTTTTGGTACAGTGAGATTTGTTAGCCTCAGTTCGAAGAAATTGAGAACTCTGCAGTGTGTTTTGTCGTTTGCTAAGAAACAGATCAGAGCTATGTTGACAAACAATAGCATTTCTTGTCAAGTGAGCGAAATGTGTGCGCGCCTAAAAGGCTGCTACACTTTATTGCTTTCAATTGTGCCATTTTATAATAATGGAGAAGTTTTATTTTGATATGTTGTGTTATCATGAAATTACATTGACATTGTCTCGGAGCACAGTCCGCCTAAATTCATTTTTAGGGAGTGGTGGGAGTAGTGCTATGACATTGGCAAATGTTCTGAAATCTAGAAAATGTAAGCTAAACCCCATATCAGAAGGTACGGATACAAACAACTTCAACAACTGGAAAATCGTTTGCCTGTCCTTAAAACAAGTAAAGCTGTTTGGTAAATGTCAGACAAGTCAAACCAACTTTTACATTTTCTTACTAGACATTTAGCCGTTTTAACCCGGTATGTTATTTATGAAATAATAACCGCGAGAAGGATGGTACCGAAATTGAATATTTAACTTAAATAGGGTAAGATTTATGCATATATTATGCAATTGTATGATAAGAGCCAACTGCCCAACATTTTCTCTTCTATTTTTAAGTGCGTTCTTTCAAATAGTAGAAAGGGCATATTGCAGATCCCGTAAGGACCAAAATATTAAACCTTCAAGAAAATGCTTTGTGATCTTCCTCACTTTTTATTTAATTTTTATCCATTGTACGGAGGTATACATGATATGCGCCTGCAGCTTCCAGCTTGGAGAATCCTTCTGAATGCGTTTATTTATCGAAATACATGCAACATGTCTCACATTCAATAGATTTTCGACTTTACTTAGGCGTTATAAGCATATTCTTCGCTCGTTACAGTTTGACATTTCTGAGTATGCCATGCTTGACAAATAACCAGACACTTTTTTATTTCGGAAATTTGAAACTCTTTCCATCCAAATGAATTTCTTCTCATTTCTTGGCATAATTTTCAAGAATTTAGTTTGATATTTTTTTTTTCACAATTGTGTACCGTGTCTCAAACACACACAATATTGTTTATATTTTCAAGTTCCCGGCTCTCATATATCTTGAATAAGACAGAATAATTATTTTTTGTTTGTCAAGCAGATGTCCTGACATAAATATGTCAGCCTATACGAGTCACTGCAAGCATATTTAGGAGTATAAACGACAAATCATTGACGAAAGCAGAAATGTCGATGATCGTCTCACTTCATTCAGAGTTTCAGGTGGAAATGGAATTTTTGGATTTTAATGCTCATTGCAACAAGTGATGATATGATTTGATTCCGCTGAAAAAATGTAGTGACTGTTGTAGGGAAAACGGAACAATTTCTATTGAGAACATTTTCGAACTGATTTTTCACAGAAATGCATGCCCTAGGGCACATATCGATAATGTGGAATAAAAAGCAAAAGAATTCGTAGTGTTGTTGTCAAGATCTGTTCTAGGTAGATGATGATGATGACGATTTTGATGAAGGGATCTCTCTTTTTATTTCCCCGCCAGATGTCGCCTGTTTGTAAACACTCAATGTACGTATGTGGGAATGTGGGTAGTGGTAGGAAGAAAAGTTTCATGTATCGCTGCGTTCTTGTCAGTTTGGTTTAGTGTGTGATTGCTGAGTTGAGGGAAACGGGGAAGGGGGTCTTTGTTTTTCTTTTGTTGTTGTGGTTGTTCTTAGTATTATTGTTTGTTTTATAATAAAAGGCAAAATATTGTTTTTTTTTGTTTAATTTTTATGTTTTTCTTTTAATTATTATTGAAAAAATGTTTCATTGTTTTCTCTTAAATGGGATTCTGAATATATTTCAGCGTGCATTATACCTTCAACTCCTCTACAATCCTACTGCTACTACCGTTTATTTCTTACATATGTAACATAATAATATTCCGTTTCTCATCTGGTTCTCTCTTTTGTTTTACTTTAATAATTTTCCATTCTCTTGGGTTTTCATTTCTTGTTTGTATGTATAATAAATTTTTATAATAATATATAATAATAATAATAATAATGGTAATAATAATAATAATGATAATAATAGTGATAATAATAATAATAATAATAATGCTAATTAAAAAAGTATTAACCAGTTTTTTGTTTTTATTTGTTTCTCTCGTATTAATTTTTACTAAAAACTTAAAAATAGATTTGTTTAACAATAATATATGTATATATACATATATATGTAATGTGTATGTATATATAAATATATTTATATATATAAATTGTAATAATTCTTTTATTTAATTTGTTTTTTCTTCTTCTGTGTTTTTATTTTCTTACTCCATTAGTACTAATAACATATGTTTGTATATATGTGTGTGTATGTATGTATGTATGTGTGTGTGAATGTATATTTATGTGTTGATCGTTCAAGGCGTAGGGGCCAAACATATTCGATGACAATTTCCCACAACAGTTGTAGCAGAAGAAGCCAACCAGCAACGTCAAATGGTAACATTACCGCCTGCACTTCGAAAGAGTTGCCCAGAGCAAAAACCTTCTCTCGAGACATAAATCGACCACATTTGCAAACCCTTCAATTTGAGATTCTCCTAGTTTTTGTACGTACATTGGGGCTACATACAGCCTTTATGCGTTTCTGGGCTATATTAAAAATGCCATTATTTCAAAAGGTCGACCATCTAAAAACCGAATATCATATTTCTTTGAACTGAGTAATCTTTTCTCGCAAACATACCTGAAAGCAAAATATCTCTAAAGTTCATTTGTTATTTAAGCTATTGAGCAGCCCAAGCTATCCAGCAAGATTGGAAAAGGGAAATATTGATCAAATTTGGCGTTATCGAATATATTACGTTTAAGGCGGAAAGAATATTGAAGCAGCTGCAACGAAATGGGACCCATCCTGTGCCTGATTATAATAGAATAGACAAACCTCTCAGTGTTTTCTGCGGCACTTTTTATTCGTAAAGAAGGACGATCTTTATCGTTTCGTGATTTTTCTATCTAACTGAATAGAGTTACCCGATGGTCCGACTTCAGTCTCTTCTGCGTCGAAGACGATTTGACGAAATTTGACCGTTGAGCGGAATGAGGTTTACTCTGGAGTGGACTAAACTGGGGCTCATCTCAAAACCTGGAGAAGACTGCATCTGTCCGAATAAAATTTGACTCCCACCGAAAAACAATGAATGTGGCTGTTGCATGGATGTGGGTATGTGTGTGATTGAGTGTGTGTGTGTGTGTGTGTGTGCTTTTGTTTAGGGATTAGAATAACATTTGTGTTTTTTGTTTTTTTTTTTTCGGGTGTGTTTGTGTACTCCTTCACTTTCACTTTTGTTTTTATTTCCGTTTGCCTAGCTGAACACGAATTAACGATCGTTTGCTTTCCAAACGGTCGCTAAGCAAGTTCGTTCGACGTTAACGTCGAAAATGATGCGAACAGTTTTGTTGTCGGTTGCTTGGGTTCACTTTACATATACATTGTAAATGTAAATATATATATGTTGTTCTTGTGGTTGTTGTTGTTGTTTTTTGTATATATATAAATGTAATGTATATAATATTAATTTAAATATGTATATATCATTGTTTTATTACTTTTTTCTCTCTTTTATTTTCTTTTCTTTGCATTTAATTTGTTTTGTTTTGTATTTCTCTTTATTCGTAAATTTGATTTAAACTAATCTTTTTGTTGTTGCATTAAGGCCAAAAATGTAATGAGAAAATGATTAACTAATTGAAGAAACATGATAACTGAAATACATAAAGTTTTCTTGTTGTTGTTGTTGTGGTTGTTGTTATTTTTTTTCTTTCTTTAAATTACATTCTAGAAATCTAAATTTTAACGCATTTGTATGTTGCTGTATCCCTTTCACAATTGTTTATGTTTTGTTTCGCTTAAATATTGGTAAGTAAATGTACGTATATGTATGTGTTTGTGTGTGGGTGTGTGTGAATGATTGTTTGTGTGGAGTGGTGCGAGTCGAGGGAGGGGTATTACAACTAAGACAAAATTGAAATTCACCCGGTAACCGCGTGGTAATTTTTGGAAATTTTCTGGACAATCACCACCCCCTCTTGGGAGAGATGTAACAGCAAAAACGAGCTCCCTTCTGGACCAACATCAAAAGGGAAAAAAAAATTCAGATCCATTTCTAGCAAATCAATATTTTCTTAAGTACGTTTAAACATAACCATGCTCTGGGGCCATCACCAATGTGTATTTCTGAAATAACCTAAACGATTTGCTAGCTGACTATTAATGGGACGTGTTATCTAGCCCCCACCCAACCGATCTATTGGTCCGAGGTGAGTAACATGGTAGCATGTGTATCTGGGTAGGAGTAGATCTCTGCGTTTTCTTCAAAACGGTAATTATTCGAGACTGGTATAGCTGGAGATCAAATAGGTTTACTCTCGTGTGGAGCATTTGGTTGAATACATAAAGGGGGTATCAAACTTTGGGTTATTTAGGGGAAATGCGGAACCAATGTATGCGAGAGAGATAGGGGGGGAAAGTGTGTGTGTGTGTGGGTGTCTGCGTGTTGTAAGGTTGTGTCAGGCGTATTGCCGGCTTTTAAATGAGCGTATTTTCTTTGCTATTTTATAAAGATTTCTTTGCTATTGCTATTGCTGTAGTATATGTTGTTGTTGTTGCTGCTGTTGCTGATGATGAGGATGCTGGGCTTGATGTTAAGACTGTTGCTGTGCATTGATAGTTGCTGAAGATGAAGCGCAATGCTCGGTCGACAATGTGGTCTGGGGGACTTCTATGATAGCTGTGGTTGCTGTTACAGATTCCTCTGCTAGGTTGTTGTTTAAGGATGCTGTTGTTGTTGTCGCTGCTACTACCGCTGTTGGTGTTGTCGTGGTGGTGGTGTCATCATACACCTGCTGCTGTTATGTGAGATCCTGGGGCGAGTCTATGGAGAAGAGTTCCTTGTAGAGGGCAGGAAACACGACATTCGGATGCTGCTGTTTGAATTTACTCAGCGCTTCCATGTGCAGTATTGAGATGTCTCTGCAAGGAGATGAGGTTAAAAACGACCGACAACAATGGGTGTGACGTCCCGACCCAACAACTTACCGGAAATTGGGAATATTATTGAGTAGTGTGTCCAGTACCGTCACATCACCCTTGAGAGGAGCATGATTGGCCTCAAGTTCCTGCCTTATTGCATTCATACTTAAGTTGAAAAGCCTCTGGATTTCCGTATTTCCACGAACACCATTTCGCTCTGCAACAAATGAATCGTTTACGACACTGCTACGATCGGTCAGCGTTGATCAATAACTTACCTGGCCACAGCAGGACCAAACTTTGATACAGAGCCAATTCGGTTTCAGTCAGTTTTAGTTCGGCTATCGACTTAGCCGTTTGGAAAATGCGTGACACCAGTCGCATCTCCTCAGAATCGGATGTGTAGAAGGCTTCCTGGGGCAGCATAACATCACCGTACAGTACCGCGTTCTGCGAGAGATCCAGCAGCCGAGACATACGCACAATCGCCAGCTCGAAGGATCCCGTCTTCAGCAAAAGGATCTGGGCCGAGAAAAAAATACAAGAAGAAAATTAAAATGGAAATGGAAGTGTAGAAGTGAAAGAGAAAGGACAACTCGACGATGCCACAACAAGTCACCTGATCATCCTGACTAAGGCGCATAAAGCCCGGTATCAATTTGGCAAATTCGATGATATTTTGTATCATTTGAGTTAGCTTCTCCGCACAGTCCAGCCACAGCTCCTGTTGACCCAGATTCTTATAATAAAGTATTCTTGAGATGTCCTGAAATCAGAGGGGCCCTCCACATTAGAACCTATCGACCCAATACCCCCGCATTTGCCAACTCACCTGTGGTTTCCTAAACATTTCATGCACCACTTCCAGTTTGGTATTGGTATTTGCATGGGCTTCCGCTAAGGTCTTTATGAGAACGTCGTTTATATCACCGTCTGCTGTGCGAACCACATGGATGGGCAAGAATAGAGAGAGAGAAAAAAGGATATCAAGGTTTCATTAGATCGTTGGTGTCTTCTAGGGTTAGTGAAATCTGCACAACAGGTGCAAACTCTAAAGAATCAAGACGAAGCTTGCAACCATTCTCGGATATTCTCTCACACTCTCACTCCAAGTTATCGGAAGTGAGAGAGGGAGACACAGACACAGAATAAAATACACTGAAATTGTTATAGATTGTATACTACCATGACTGATAAATTCGGGATCCATCATCGTACTTCGTGGCTCGTACGTAGTACTGTCCACATAGTCTGCCGAGATGTCATAGGCCATCGTTTGCTGCGGCGTCACCGATGCCGAGTAGCCATACGGACTGCCATAGCTGACTTCATTGCTCGAATAGCCGTAGCTGAAAGAGAAGACCCAACAACACATTCATTACGAATCGTTCGCCATTGGCCGAATTCGGAGATTTCCTTACCCGTTGTAACTGTGGTGCAATTGGTCGCTACTCGAGGGCGTTTGCGTGTCAAACACCGACGAATCGGGCGCCGCATCACTCTGCGCTCGCATCTGAGCTCTGTGGAATCTCACCTCGTCTTCGACTTTTTCTCTTTGTTTTTTAGACATTCTGCCGAACTTGACAGCTGCAGGAAGAAATCAAGAGGGAAGTGAGTTGACAATAGGGCCAAGGAGTTGTGAACCCGACTTCTGTACTCACCGTCTCGGCTCATTCCCAGTTTGAGGCACTTTTGCAGTCTACAGTATTGACACCGATTGCGATTAACACGATCGACAACGCATTGCTTGTTGCGGGGGCACTGATAATTCACCACAGAACTCTGTGATCGCCTAAAGAAACCTTTGCAGCCCTCGCATGTGATAACACCGTAATGGACACCGGATGACTTGTCTCCACAGACTTTGCAGGGTATTATTTCAATTTGAGCTGTAACGAAAAATGCAATGGGACCATGAGTAGAGTTTTTATTTTTTACATTTGGAAAATTATCTGCAAATATTATTGTGGTGCTTCATCGTGTGGGCTCGTAAAATATATGACTCCCCAGAGCTCCACCAATTTCTCAGTTTCAAATCCCCATAACTTCTGCGGCACCAATATATTTAGACATAATGTTAATATAATCGGGAATATAATCCAAATCAGCAAGTGTTTGAAATCCTGCCAAAGTCCAGGCAGGCCCAACTCACATTATTCTTACAGAATTGTCAAGACCAAGTGGAACTCACTCTATCAGGCTTCTGGGATTCCAATTAGACCTCTCGGAATTCTTGCAATTTAAGAAGTCGATTTACAACTGCACATCTGCAATAGCTCACACATACACACACAAAAACATTATACAAGTGTACGTGTTTATGTAAGTGTGTATGTGTGGGGGGGGGGGTCATTTGGGCATATTTCAAAAAATCTGTGGCAAAACGAAAAGCAAACATTTAATAACAAAAAATGAAGAAATTTTGTTTCGTTGGTGTAAACGTGACAGATGACGAGTGTGAATGAATGCTCACAAACCAATAAACACACACATACACACACACACACACCTATATATAGCTAAAGGCACTCGCATTGATATGTACACGCTATGTGTGTATGTCGGTATGCCTCCTGTTGGTGTAGCTGTGTGTTCCAGTGTCGATGAACTTTTACTCAGAATAATATCCATATCGTCGCTAAATGAACAAAAAACAACAACAAGAAGAAGAAGAAGAACGGCAACAGCAACAAGCCCCCATATAAATTTCATTCTTGTTGTTGACGAGAAAAACCTGAACAACCAGGCAAAAACAATTGCCATACACAACTACAACGCCAACACCAACAAAACGAGAGAAAGATTTACACTATTACATGATATTTCATAACTTTCTCTCCCCTCATTTGTTATTTATTTCTTCTTGTTCCTCTGCGGCGAAATTGGGGAAATTTCTCTTAGCCGAATGGCGCGCTCTGTTCGTAGCAATCAATTTACAAAGAGCGTGGCAAAAGAGAGCCGTACAGAGTGACGCAATCGAGAGAGCTATGGGAATTAAGAGAACTTAACACAATCTGAGAACGATTGAGAAATGCTGCTCCTCGCGAACTCTCCTTTGGTCTCTTAAACACGGCAGCTATACACGAACTAGTGTCGCACAACAATTCTAAAAAACAAGAAAGATTTGATATTTTTCTTCTTCGAAAAGTGCATTTCTCATTGCAATGGGGTTTTCACTTCTAGGATATTCCTGGCAAAAAAATTACCCTGATTGTGGACTCTAAATGAGCAGCTGTGATCCGAAGTTTATCGCCTATATTTAAAAAACTTAAATGTTTGAAAAAATCCCAATTGCGTTCGATTTTGGAATATTGGTCAAATAACAGAACCCGTTAAGACTAGACAACATTAATTTAGAAAGAACAGACCATTGTTCTATATCAATTGGTATGTACGAACTGAGTTTCGTATTTATTGAAGAGCTATACAGGATTAGTTTTTGGGGGAAAAAGTTCGGTTGTTTAAAATAATTGGACATTTCACATCAAAAGTTATGTAAGATAGGAATATAAACGAACCACCATCCACACATCCCTAAATTCTTCAGTTGTTATACATTTATTGCTCATTTTATGCAGACGAGTTAATGGCTTGACCGTATGGAGCCTCAAACGCTGGTATAGTGATACGTATTTCATTGGGACAATGAATGGGGACAGATGAGGTGCATTGGAAATTCGACCATGGGTCTATTCAATATTCCGTGAATGGTGATTAATAGTTGATTTCGCCGGCAATTCGCTGATTCGAAAAATGCTTCGGAAAAACGTCCATACGACTGCAGGTGTCACCATTCCCCAAAATGATCAAATTTAATTTTACAACCTAATGTCAAATAAGCCATCAATGTTGTTCCCATTTTTGAGTACCAAAAAAAAAAAAAAAAAAAAAAAACAACAACAAAGATAAATAAAAGAAAGAAAGTTGCAACACAAAAAAGGGACCGAGTGCCACAGGGACATAGATGCGATGTGCCAAGTAGATGTTGCTAAAAACATTTGTATGGATGTTGGACGCACATGTATATCCATCCACCATGCATGCATCCGTCCATCCAATCGCACATACATACATACCTACAAACACACATAGGCACGTATGTAGATGATAAATGCCTGATGCTGTCGTCGGTGGGCTATGAAACAACAACGAACAAATGCCAGAAACAGCAACAATGGCTGTGCGAAAATATGGGTCAAATTGTCTAAGAACTTTACTGTGCTGTTGTTTTCGTTGTTGTAGTCGTCGTCGTTCTTGTTGTTTTTATTGCTATTGTTGCTGCTTTTGTTGTTGACGATGATGGTTCTGTTGGAAATGAAGCCACATCAAGTCTAATGCATGCAGCAGCATTCATTTATCCAACCAACGCACATAGCTCACATACTTCGCCAGTGTGGTGTGTGCGTGTACGTGTGTGTATGTTGGCTGTAGCTGTGAACCCAGTAAACAATTTTTTCCGACTGCTCTGATTTTAGATTTTTTTCCGAAATTTCTGACGTTTTTTTCAGAAATTTCTGATAGAAATTGGTCCGATTTTCTAAACGTTTTTTTTTAGAATTTCTGCACATTTTCCTGTGTTTTTAAGCGAAAAAAACTCGAAAAATGTACAAACGGAGAGAGTAGATTGTCTATTGCTCTGACATATTCTCTCCCACATGTAAACGGATGGTGGTGGTTTGACACATTCTCTCCCATAGTAGTTGTTGTTGTGATCATTCATTTCAAGATCTCAACAACAACAAAGCGTAAAGCAAAAATGCGATTTGTTATTGTTATTGTGAACTGTTAGATTTTCCGTTGTAAAAATGTGCGTTTTGTTGTTGTTGTGAATCAGCCTCTTTCTCTTTCGTTCCCAAAAAAATATGATGGAAAAAAATTGCAAAAACAACTACATACCGGTTTTCTGTGTGCACTGCTTTTTATTTTTAGTTCTTGTTTAGCAGTTGAAACAGAAACGTGCTACTGTATGTTATGTTCCTAATAAAAATAATATTTATAATGTAAATGTATTATAGATGTAATATTTAAACTACATTTTTACGAAACCCGAAATAAATTGTTTGTTTTTTAAATAAATATGTGTTTTTTTTTTTCATTTTTAAGTGGTGTGACGATTTTTTCGATATTTCTTCAGAATTCTGAACGATTTCTTTCAGAAAATCGGAACTTTCTCCCGAATTCTGAGCGTTTTTTTTTTCAGAAAATCTGAATTTTATTCCGAATTTTCTTTCGAATTCTGACCGATTTCTTTCAGAAAATCTGAATATTCCGCCGAATTTCCAGACGAATTCTGCCCGATTTCTTTCAGAAATTCGGAGTTGTCCTCCGAATCTTTTCCGAAAATCTAATTTTTTCTCCTATTTTTTCAAGAATTTTCACCGAATTCGGACCGAATTCGTCCAGAAAATCTAATATTTTTTCAGATTTTTTTCAGAAAATCTTTCCGAATTCGGTGACCACGTCCATACAACTTTCGTACCGAGATCGGAAGGAATTCGGAATCAGAATCGGACATTTTTTCAGAGATTCTGACAGAAATCGGACCGAATTCGGCAAAAATTGTTTACTGGGAATGTGCATTAACACACAACCACAGACATACATACCCACTCACACATATATATATATACTCTTCCCAACAAACTTTGAGAGCTTTGTGTGTCAGTGCACCGCATAGATTGCGGCCCATGCAGGCCTCTGTATGTACCGTTCGTTGCATCTTCTTTGTGTGCCACAGAATTCGCCACCGGCCGACGATCCGATCGACCGTAACTGCTGCATTTCGGAGTGGAAGCCTGCTAGTTAACCTGCCTGCCTGCCATCCTTCCTTCCTGCCCACGAATCGGGAAAACCCAATCGAACACAAACTCAACAAATTGTCAGCGAAGAAGGAATAAAAACAAAATGGATAAAAGAAGCAAAAATCCGACACACTGTTTGAAATGCAATAAAGCAACGAGTCAAACGACTGGCCAGGCGCAGAGTCAACACCAGCCGAAATGAGACAGCGGCAAGAGGAAGGACATATCAGCAGCATGACCAGCAGACGAACGGCTAACGACGAACAACAGAACTGACAACAACGTGGAGAGGGACTGCAGTTCATTGTAACACATTTCGAGGCACCGTGTATATGTTTGTAGGTAGATATGTGTGTATGCATGTTTGCAGCACCACTGGCATGCAATGCTTGCGAACATTTGTGAGTTCTACCATTAACCTAACGACAACAGCAAAAACAACAACAACAATAGCCACAAAGATACCTTCTTCACAACCATTTCCAGTGTTACCAATGTCGGTGCAAACAGCGGCGGAATGACTTGAAATCCATCCAAATACCAACACATTCCTGGTAACAAATTCAACTTCATACCTGGGCTGAGCCACGGAACAGAGAATAACGCCTAGATTCGTAGACAGGAGGTCGGATCGAGCAAATGTATTTACGGAAATGGATTTACAGATTTTAGGGATCATAGCAAAAAAACAGTGTCACAGAACGTTGTAGGATATAGCAAATAAAACTTCATATGCAAGGAGTACACATTTTAGATACCCCACTTTCGTATTTGTCATCTCGAATCTATAAGCCAATTCATACATGACAGATGTGAAGTAATTGTGGTCTAAAATGTGGACGGAGGTGGGCTCGTTTAATAGAAAATTCGTTCTAATAAAGACTTTTGAGTGTTACTTAATCCTGACGTTCCGAATGTAGTCCTGACTTTCCGAATGCAAGCTGAAAACATTAACATTAATCCAAAATGTCTTCAATTATTCATTGTGTGATGATGTTTACAAGCTATTAGTGTCTTGGTCCAGTAACTTTCCCAGGATTTGTAGATTTTTACTTTGAAATTGGTTAACAATTTGTCGACAAAATTCA